GTAGGTAGCCAGGCAGGCAGGCAGGCAGGCAGGCAGGCAGGCAGGCAGGCAGGCAGGCAGGTAGGTAGGTAGGTAGGTAGGTAGGTAGGTAGGTAGGTAAGTAGGTATGTAGGTGACTGACGCCCCCATATGCAACCCGAAACCCCTTGCACCAGGCCCGCGCTAGCCCGCTTCCGAAATCCGAACCTACTCAGCTTGAAAAGCGCTTTGCCAGTAGAGCGTAGGGTTTGAGATTCAAGTTTAGCTTCAGATACCCAGATAGCTCAAGACCCCAAACCCTAAACCCTAAACCGTCAAACCCTCAAACCAGAAATAACAACCCTTTTAAGCCCGACATCCCGATGGTCGCCTCCCGATCTGGCGACGACTGCCGGGACCAAACACGCGAAGCGGCCTCTTTCGGGCTTTGGGGCTTTGGGGCTTTGGGGGTTTGGAGATGGAGGGGTTTGAGGATTTAGGGTTTATAGGGCTTAGGGGTTTGAGGGCCCTAAACCCTAAACCCTAAACCCTAAACCCTAAACCCTAAACCCTAAACCTTTAAGCCTCAGGCTTTAGGGCTTAGGCGGGTTAGACTGGGTTTAAGGTTTGGAAGTCTCGGGTTTTCTAGCAAGGCCTTCGGGCTTGTTGCGCTTCAGGCCCGAAGGCTTGGGGTATTGGTATTTATTTAGGCCCCAAAACCCTAAAACCCTTATAGCAGCCCTTATAGTAACCCTTATAGACGCCTTTTAAGAACCCTTGAAAGGAACCCCTTTTTCCGAGGCTTTGGGTCCTTCGGGGCTTCGGGTTTGCAGCTTTCAGGATGCAGGAAATCGGGTTCAGTGCGGTTAGAATTCTAGGATTTGGGGTTTAGGGGTTTAGGGTTTAGGGTTTAGGGTTTTGGGTTCAGGGTTTAGGGTTTAGGGGGTTTGGGGTTTAGGGGCTTCTGGCGATTCTGCAGTCGCTTCCTGTGGGCTTAGGGCTGCAGGGTGACAGGGGGTTCGTAGATCTCTACAGACTTCCTGTCGATCTCTGTAGATCAGCTGGTTGGGGTTGGTCTAGATTGTAAGGTACAGGGGTTGGAGGATTTTGACTCAACGTACGCAGCATGGACCGCGGAGGAGTCTCTAGGATCCTATATGGATTGAGGAAGGTAAGTCATCAAGGTTCGTAAGACAACGGAGAGAGGGGCTTCGCAGTATGCTGCAAGAGAAGGCACAGGGCTTCGCCGAAAACTAATCTCATAATTCTTGGGCCTGTGCTTTTGAACCTCTTAAGGAATAGCAATCGATGTTTTGGCAAGGCTGCCCTAAACCCTAAAGTCTGCACGGCTCAGACAGAAGTCGCCAGGACTGTGGCAAGTGCAAACTGATAGTATAGGGGTGTGCACCATTAGAGTAGGGCTTCTGGGTAGATGATCGTATCCTCAGAATAAGGACGATACGGTTACTTTGGGTAGATGATAGTATGCTTAGAAAAAGGACTATAAGGTTATAATACCCTAAACCCTAAACCCTAAACCCTAAACCCTAATCTTGTCCAACCCACCTGCACAACAAATCTGGACATTGCACACATTCAACTCCCGCTCCTCAGCTGTGGCGTTAAGGGCTTAGGGCTAAGGGTTTAGGGTTTAGGGTTTAGGGTTTCGGGTTTAGGGTTTAGGGCTTCGTCTTAGGGTTTAGGGATACCTGAGCTATAGAGCCTCCAATGTGAAACCCTAAACCCCCGCCACTTTCAGCTGCACCCGAAACCCTTCGACGCATCCCGCTTCGGCCCGAAGATTCAGGAATGTCACGTTGCAACATGCTACGGCTGATGGACAAAATCCTGCATGACCTTACATACCTAAACTATGGGATTTATGGTACTATACTATATTTGGGTCATGCAGAAATTTTGTCCATCAACAGTAGGAGCTCCACTAAGACACCTTTGAAATGATGTAGGGGTCTTAATAAATAGACCATGGTTTTGGGGCAAGTTATAGTATAATCATAAGAAGGAACACCCAAAGTAATATACGTAATTATTTAGGCCCCAATATTGGTCAAGCAATTGGGATCCTACAAACCCTTAATAGAAGCCATTGCTAGAGTTAGAGTCCCGTGAGGAATGGCAGCAGCGTGGCCTCACTCGGTGCGAAGGTGGAGGCACCGTCGGCACCTCGGCAAAAAGGAGCTCGGGTCGGTGCCTGGTGTTTGAGGCTTCTTCGTAGGGTCTAGGGTTTAGGGTTTAGGGTTTAGGGTTTAGGGTTTAGGGTTTAGGGCCCTTGAGAGCTTAGGGAATGTTGAGGTCAAAGTAGTTGCCGGGGCTGAGTTTCTCTCCACGCCTGAACATCACCCTGTTTCACCAGAATTCATTTGCCAGGTGAGCGCCCGACTAGGGCACTACCTCTAGAGAATGAACAAAATCAAAGTAGTTGACGGTCGTGCTCCAGGGATTTCTGCTTAACGCCAGGGGTAAATAGGCAGCCCAGAACCCTTCTGCAATAAGCGCAGATGTCCTTCTGCTGGGGAGGGTCTTTCTGACGGAACTCCGAGCCCAGGAAAATACTATAGAAGCCCAAATCATTACCTATATTGGTTTGGGGGTCCGTATTATAATGATACTGTAAAAGACACCCGAACCCTTCTCTAATTGCTAAGGCCCCTATATTTATGTTGTAGACTCTTCAAACCTCTACAGAGGTCTGAACTTTTGTTAGACCAGAGACGCCGTGACACGTATGGGTCATGTGGAGGCCGGAGTGATTGCCAATATTATGCCGTAAGGTTCCTTACTGTAAGTATACTATAAGGTACCCTAAAACCCTAGTCTAATTGAGGCCCTCGTATTATGCGCTTCAGTTAAGTCTTGGAAGCCCCATGGTAGGATTTTCGCTCTCTTTCGATCATACCTTTGCATTATAACCAACCCAGAGACCCTGATCGAATTCCTAAAGCACCCCCCTATTCGAGGAGCTTTGTTCGGGCTTGGCAGGTGCTAGTCTTGAAATCGATCAAAGGACGAGGTACGCTCGTGAATACATACGATGGCTTAATCTACTGAAGGCCCTACTTACTAAGTCCCCTGATCCTCTAAATAGGACCCTATGCAGGGTTGAGGGATGAGTTATAGGCCTTAAGGCAGGATCCGACAGGCTCTAATTACATCAGCTCGAGCCCCCTATCGCCAGCAAATACCCTTTCGGCATGTTATGTTCGGGCTTCTCGTCAACGGGTTCAGGTTTTGCAGCTTTGGGTTTTGGGGGGCTGTCCTAAACCCTAAATAAATCGGGGCTCGAGTTTAAAATCTAGGGCGTATGTCAGCCCCGGCGCCCACCGGCGATCCAACCGGGGAGGACTTCAGCTTCATGGCGTCCATGGAAGCCTTCATGGGGCTTCCATGGGGTTCGGGGTTGGATGGATTCAAGTCTGCGGGTTGGGGAGAGGGTTAAGGGTTTAGGTTGCCGGGAGAGACGCCCAAATACTAAACCCTGGCAGCTGTGGGGCGTGCCATGGATATACTTGCATATCTTGGACGCATGTCGAGCCCCTTTCTTGGCTCAGGAGTTCCAGGTTTAGGGCTTAGTCTCAGGGTTCAGGGTCACCTAAGAACGTTGACACAGAACTGCAAACTCTAATGCATTTCGCACTATAGATCGAGCGTCAAAGCCTAACCTCGAACTTAAGCTCGAAGCCCTACATCCTGAAAACTGAGACCCTAAACCCTAAACCCCAAAACCCTAAACCCCTAAACCCTAAACGCCTAAACCCCTAAACCCCTAAACCCCTAAACCCCTAAACCCTAAACCCATAAACCTCTAAACCCTAAACCCTAAACCCCTAAACCCACAACCCCTGAACCCTAAACCCGAAACCCCTAAACCCCAAACCCCTAAACCCTAATCCAAAATCCGTAAAACTGAAATCCTAAACTCGAAGCCTGCACACGTTTAATTTGGGAACTCAAACGTTGAACCCCTAATCGCCAAACGAAAAACCCTAAACCCTTAACCCAAAATCCCTGAAAGCTGAAACCCAAAACTCGAAGCCTGCACACGTTTAACTTGTGAACCCAAGCACTGAGGGGGTAAGCCCTTATACACCCCAAATCCTTAAAGCCCACACGCCGAAAAAAACCTAAACCTCTGACCTAAAGGTCGAACCGCACACCGAAACTAGCCTGAACCGTAAACCCCAAACCCCCTTAACTGTCAGGGCCATGGAAAGGATGGCCTCGAACTGCGTTGGCAAGGACATCGCGGAGGCCATGATCTGGCGAAGATGTGTATCGCTGAGGCTTCCAGGATTCAGGGGTTCGACTGTAATACAGGGGCCTTAATGGTTAGCATAGGGTTTTGGGGTCCTTCACAATAGAATAAGGAGCCCCCAAAAGAGTATTAGGTGATTGTTTAAGCCCCTATATGAAAGGTTTTGGGCCTTCGGGTGGTGGAGTTTTTAAAGTCTCAAGGCTGGGGGAATAGAGATTTAGGGTTGAGGTTAGGCTTGCTGAGGGTAAAGCTTGCGGTGCGGGGTTGTGGGCTGAGGGCCTGGAGGATGTGCGATCTACGAGGTTCGTGGTCAGGGTTTGGAGGCTACTGTTGGGCGTGAAGCGCGAGACCAACCCTTCCGGAAGCTGCTAGACACCCTTGAACGCCCCGGTTCGGGCGAAGGCGAAGAGGTCACGACCGGAAGCGGTAAACACCCTTGAACGAGCAGGCCAACAAGAAGCAATCGACCCCCCAAACAT